CGATGGTGGTGGACGGTGATGGTGGACGGTGGTAGTGGTGGACGGTGGCGGTGAACGGTTGTGGTGGTGAAGAGAAGTAGAAAAAAAAGGAGAAGATGTTAGAAGACATTGGTTAATGTCTTCTCCAAGAAGATGCCATGAAGACCTTTTTGAGTGAAATGTCTTCCAAAAAACAAACAATCTGCAGAGCCCATCATCTGCGCGCGTCTGCGTGGCGCAGACAAAAGACGCCAAAAGGTCTTCTGGCAGAAAAACAAACACCCCCTAAGATGTGTGATAATGGGAGGCTGAATCAGCCAAGATTTATGACTTGCTTCGGGTGAAAGCAAACCCTAAGCCCTGGATGGCCTTTATTTGGCAGCCCTATGTCCCACCTAAGTTCTCCTTCACCCTGTGGCTTGCCTTCCGTGGGAGACTACCAACTAAGGAAAGCCTCAACTTTATTGACATACCTAGGCACTGCAGCCTCTGTGGCAGCCATGGTGAAAACCTGGACCATCTCTTCTTTGATTGTGATGTTACTAAACAGATCTGGATAAAGAGACGGCTAGGAATAGAGACTCAATTGAAAACCTTGGCTAGAGCTGAACGGTGGCTTGGAAAGAACAGAAAAACCTCGGTGATTATGAGGAAAGCCATGAGGTTGGGGTTTGCTGCTGATGTCTATCATATTTGGAAGATGAGGAATGAAGTTTGCTTTGACCACAAGTCTGGTGATGTGGCCAGAGTTATGACTAAGATCAAGGTGGTGGTCCATAAGGTCTTCTCTACCTCTGGGTCTCTTCTTTGATTTTGGGCATGTGTGTCGTGGTGTTGTTGCACTCCCTGAATCAACCTGTGTTGGGGCAATTTAGGGTGTGTGTGCGGGTGCTGTGTGTGTGCTGGTGTGTGGGTGGTGCTTTTGTGTTCTGTTTGAGTGTGTCGTTTGTGGGAGGGTGTGTTTGTGCTGGTGTTTGCGTGGTGTTTTCTATTTGTGTGTGTGTGTGTGCATGTGTTGTGCGGTGTGTGTATGTTGCGTGTGGGTGTGTGTGAGTGTGTGATGTGGTTTCGCTGGCGCACCTTCTTGTGAGTGGGTTTTGTTGGTGTAGTCACATAACTAAATGGGAAGATAACCTGGACTGATCTCCTGGTCTAAGTCTTCTTCCCGTTTGGATGTGCTTTTGGTGGTTGGTTTTGTGTGCACAGATAAATGGAGTTTATGTGTGGACTGTGGACTGTGGTAGTTTCTCCCTTGGTCCGAGTCTGGTTTTCAGTCCGGCGTGCTGGGCTTGCAGGCTGTGCATCTTGCACATGGTTGGTTTCTCGTAGCGGCACATAGCTGAATGGGAAAGGGGCTTGGACTGAGGTTGAGTTTCTCCCTGGTCTAAGCCTCCATCCCATTCGACTATGTGTGGTTGGGACTTGGGTCTAGCTGGTGCAGACAAGTGGAGGGCATTCTTGATTATGGCAGTCTCTCCCTAGTCTCGGAATAAACTTTATCTGTCTGGAACTACACTGGTCCTCGGTTTCTGTTTGGTCCCTCGGTTTCTGGCCTCGAAATGGGTTTTAAACTCTATGCCTTAATATTCGGTTTCTAACTGAGCGCTTGGTCTTGCCCTACTGGCTTTGTTATTAGCCTGCTTCCCTTGTGGTTTGATCCCTAGCTTGTTCAACTATTGATGGTTGTCTTCACTCGGGTATGCCTGTTTTAATGTTGTTTTCGTTTCGTGAGAGTGTTGTCTTTGGCTGGACCTCTGTTCAACTTGAGATGCGTGCCTGGCCTCTTGCCTTGCTCTATGTGTCATGGTCTTGATCTTTGTACTTTCTCAGTCCTGGCCTGAGCACCAAAATTTGGGTGTTGGAGGTGGTTTTTTCGAGTTCGGCCTGTGTGCCGAAGTTTGGCTCTACGGGTGATGCTCATTCTCTTTGAACATCAGATTTGAGGTTTCGTTTGAAAAAAATAAAAAAAATAAAAATTAAAAATATTTTTAAAAAATCCTTCTCCCTTCTTCTCCTCCTCTCCCCTTCCTCTTCTCCTGTTTTCTCCCTTCTTCTTCTTCCTTTCCCCTTTTCGTTCTTCGTCTCTTCTTCTCTTCCCTTCTTCTCCTCTTGGTTCTGAGCTGTGATTGGGATTGAATTTCTGTTAGGTCTTTGTGGTTGGGGTGTGGTGAGATTGGTGCAGGAATATAGTGACTTGGCTTTGGTCGAGGCCCGTCTGGTTTCTCTTGCTGACCTGTGTGCCTTGGTCTGAATTTTGTTTGATCATGGCCTTGGCACCTCCTTGATGGCTGTTGGTGTTGACTTCAACTTTGGCCTGCTTGTCTTGGCTTATGACCTCTGGGTCTGATCCTAGTATTCTTGCCTTCAGCTTTGCTATCGATAGCACTTGGGGCATGTGGTTATGGGGATTTGGGATAATAGGGATTCTAATATGTTTGAAGTCTACCTGATCTGTGGGCAATAGCATTGGTTAGGACTGTGTCAAGTGACTCTGGTCTCTGGAATGTGTCCCTCAAGCTCTGACTTATGATCCGGGGTGTTGTGTCTTGTGCTGGTTTGGAGTATGACTTACTTCTGACCTGGGTGCCTTGGCTTCTATTCTGGCCTTAGTGTTTTGGGGTTGTTCCTGGATCTCTTGCTTTAGTCTTTATGTACCCAGTATGTGAGTTTTGATCTCTGAGCCTGCGAGCTTTGACTTTTGGGGTCTTGTGTCTGGAAAGCTTACTTTGTGCTTTATGCATCTCGCATGTGTGCCTCTGTTTTTTACTTCTGGGCCTGCGTGCCTTGTTCTTTGAATCTGGCCTGCGTGCCGTGGCTTTAGACTTTGGCCTGTGTGGCCAGTTTTTGATATTTGGTTGGACCGCGTTGGTACTTGGTAACCTCTTCGAACTCTTGTGTTGACTCGGGTATTATGCCTGTTTCATTCTTGTATTCTTTTCACTTGGGTTTCAATAATATTTACATGTTACCCAAAAAAAGCTCCATTGTTTGACTTTATTATCTTCCTAAACTTTGTAGATTCCAAAATATTTGTAAAATATAAATATGCTCAAAATTATGCATTTTATGTATAAAATGTAAACAATGGCCTAAAATGCTAAATATAAAAAATTATGCTTATTTAGGTATAAAATGAATTAAATGTATTCTGAAAAAGAGGAAATAAAATATGATATTTTGTGACTTAACATCCAATTAATATTCCAATCCATCCATTTAGACCAAGTCATTCCTTATCATTATCAAACAAAGAAAACAATAAAAATGAAAATAAAGAAAGGAAGAAACATTGGGCAACGAAAAAGAGAAATAGGGCGCAAGAAACAGATTGCACACGAGTCTTCTTCTTCAATTCAAACTCTTCCGAATTCAATTATAAAAAGAAGACTTGCATCGCAGATACGGGTGGTGATATACAGAGAGAAACAAAGAGGGAACGAACAGAAGAGTTGGCCTAGGGTTCCGACCCTAGTTCCGGCGATGACAACTGCGGCGATGGTTTTCAGTGTTCTGAGGATGTTTCTGTCTCCCGCACGGAACAACTCCAGCGAAATTGGTGCGCTGACACTATGTGTTGTTCGAACATTTTGTTATTTGTTTTATTTGATTGTGCAATACTCCCTTCGTCCCAAAAAAGATAATCACAATTTGACTTTTTTGGTCAAACTGTGTTACACTTTGACCACAAATAGCAAAAAAATATATTTAGTGATAATGTAAATTTTGTAAAATTGAGCTCATTTAAAAGATAGTTTTGATATATCAAAATTTAATTACATTTAATTATTTAAAAGTATATTTAATTTGCTATCAAAGCGTTGCACAATTTGATAAAAAAATTCAAATTGTGATAATCTTTTTGGGACGTATGGAGTATTAAATATGCTTATGTTTGATTTCAATTCTTGTGTGTTGAATGCTTAAGTTATGGTATATTATAGTGTTGATTTGTTTGAATGTTGACTGTCTAGATTTGATTTATTGATTGATTACTGTCTCTGAAATTATAAAACCTTCATTGATTGGATTGTTTAACAAAAAGATTGAATTTTTGGTTTGGTTATTCTTGTTGAATTAATTTGACTTTGAAGAGTTTTAGCGCAAAAATCAACACTAAAATCAATTCAAAGTCAAATTAATACAACAATAGCATAACCCCAAAATCTCTTCAAAGTCAAATTAATTCAACAAGAACAATCAAACCAAAGATTCAATCTTTTTTGTCAAACGATCCAATATAAGCAGGTTTTATAATTTCCGAGACAATAATCAATCAATAAATTAAATCTAGACAGAACATCAACAAACAAATCAACACTATAATACGCCATAACTTAAGCATTCAACACAGGAGAATTGAAATTAAACATAAACATATTTAATACGGGACAATCAAATTTATAAGTTTGGAAACATATAACTCTAGAATCCTATTTAAAGAAAATAACAATTAATTAACACAAATAACAAAATACTCCCGTGTGTTTGTTCTGTGTTCGAACAACACACAGAGCCACCGCACTAATCTTACCGGAGTCGTCCTTTGCTCGAGACGAAAACATGAAACACATCCTCCGGACACCAGAAACCATCGCCGGAAATAGGGTCAGAACCATAGGCCAACCCTCTGTCTTTGT